TCTAGACAGGGCAGCCGCCTATCGCCCACCTGTCTAAATTAATACCTTTGATATTAGAAATATCAATAGTTTCACGGAGCTTATGAAGTGCCTTGCTTACAAAGTAGTTTAGTCTTCCGTGTTGGCAACTAAGACCAACATTGCCATTGATCTGCTGTCTTGTCTTGTTATCTAGTTAAAAAGTACATAAACATACGTAAGTACATTTTTTAATTTCACTTTTTGACTGATTAATAGTTAGAAATGCATTAAAATGTGTCTTTTTGTGGACTTTCACATACTACATTGTCATCGTAAGTACTCCGAGGAATCTTCGAAAAATTATATCATAGTCGCATTTTACGTGTTAACTAATAATGCTTTTAGAACATTTTAAAAATAGAGTTATGTTTAATTATGATATGATATTCATCTTTAACTTTTTGTTGTTCCCTATGTTAGTTACACCGGTGGGTTATTTACGAGGTGGCAAAAGCTTTGATGTCGCATTGGCTGTCGTCCACGCCCGCGTCGGCAGTCGCGGCGGCCACCTAACTACCACTGTTACACTTTGTCTTCTAACTTCAACTAACCTGGTACCAACTTGTTTATTATTTATTATGCATTATAATTGTCACTGATTTATCACTTAATGCAGATAAGAAATAGACGTGAAGGATTTTATCTCTTACTCCCAAAGTCAACAGTAATTATTGTTTTGAATTGCTGAATCTTTCCATAAATTGTTATGATCGTATTATGTAATGATCCCATAAGCAGTACACCCACAATTCGATATTATCGTAGACAGGCGCAGGCGCAACGTTACAACAGTAATGGCAGCGGCGCCAACCAACAAGTTATAGATTATCGCTATAATTATTTCGAACTCTCTAACCAGTAACAGCCTGAAGTAACCGCTCCGATTGTATAGATCAATCAAGTACGTATATTTATCTAATTTTAGCGCCGGATATCGCTTTAGTACGTATTATCTAATCTAACCAAATATACTTAAAAAAATATCTTTCGTTTATCATATCACGGGAAAATATAATTTTTTGCGAACTTTTAATTATATTATCCATATTTATACAATATATAGATTGTTGTTAGATTGTTGATTGTACAAGATATACGTTGTCGATGAAGCTCATTTTATGTATTGTCTGAACTCTAGAACGTATAAATTACATTTATTAGGCCAATTCCTGTCACACAACACTGTCCATTAATAACATGGAAACTCTTGAATCGATTACCATTCGGTGCTGATGTCGTGTTATTTTTAAACAACTGCAATATAAGTACTGATTCAAGTTAACTGTTAGACCATTCTAATTCAAAGGGATTCAAATCATTTTCCTCTTAGAAATGATTCATTTCTCTAGCGTTATCATTACTTATCATTAGTTTGCTCCGACAAAAGGTAACCTACCTATTCGATGGAGATAAGATAATGAATTACGACAATGTGTTTCAACGTACAGCTTGATAACTGTGATAAAAAGATAACTATAGTCTTACTATCATCTTATAAAATATACTTGTAACTAAACTCCCTTGAGCGCCTCTTACATTGTTTTTAAAAATTATACGTGACTTTTTCTACAGCGCCTACAAGACAATACGTTGTGTTTGACTATTTTTTTTGTATACTAGGTTTTATATCAGATTTAAGTAAAAGCGATACTGTAAAAGTAATTTAGGTTATTTTTTACGAGATAATCTGAGTCGTCGTGGATGATAAATGTGCGATACAATAACAAATATATTTACAAATTAATGATAACATCTGAAAACGGTATACCTTGCTACTTGTAGCTTTATTTGGTAAAATTGCAAAATTATTGAACCGTTTTTTCTAAGTTTTTCTTACAAGTACTACTTTACCTATTGTTTTCGAGTGTAATTCAATTACTACCTTTTTTTTGCTTAACTGAACATTTTTTTGACAATTTTAGCAAAGAAATATTGCAACTTCCGAGTTTATTCAATCAAAAATGTAACATTAAGAAGAAATATTTTTACTTTACTCAAGACCAATTTTATTTATTTCTCCAAGAAGGTTTTATTCAACTGTTTTATTGAGTAAAATCTCTTTTGTTACACACAAAAGCCATATTATTCGATGAAAACAAAGCTAACTCTCCGTTCAACGTGCGCAAATCCGTTCATTCACAGAAACCATATTTATGCATCTGTTTAGGTTACCTCGGAATTAGTGATAGATGTGGTATAAATTATAAAGTTAAGATAAAATTTACTTGAGACTTTAAAAATCCATTTTGCATTGAAAATATGAAAGTGCAAAATAATAGACATACGGAACATTTATTTTTAGTATCTTCATTCTTGTACACTTAAGGTAAATGTGCGAGTACCATTTTTTACCGAAGTTATCGATTCGTCTGTGGGTTTTGTTTAAACATTTATTTATATTATAAAAACCCGTACATCATCTTTCGCAATTAAGATACGTGTATCCACCCTTATTTTCTTGTTCAAAGAATTGTAATTCTAGTGTGTATCATGGGGATATTATCGTTTATCACCTGTTACGTATTAAAACACCTGCTTTTCGGTGGCAACAAACAAGCAACTATGACACGACTCGGGTTAACCCCTTAACGTCTGCGTATGGGCAAATCTATTGTTGTTTATCTTACTAATATTATAATTGCGAAATAATAAATGGCTAGATGTTTGTTTCTTAATTTCGGTTCAACGGCTGAAATTTGGTATAGAGGTATAAAATTATATTCTAGAGTATAAGAACTCATAGTCTTTTATCTTTTTTAATACCGGGCAGGTGGAGGCACTAACGACAACTAGTATTTTTATGAACATAAACATTTAAATTTTCTTTTTAAGAAACTAATATTACGGTTTTTAAATGAGGTTTTATTCATTCATATAATCGATGCTTTATGGAATAAAAATCATATAATTTTATAATATAGACTAGAATATTTTAATATTTTAACTTATAAAAACCATACCCATATAAAAACCGTAACAACCTAATCTCGTGACGTTGGGGGATCTCATATCCATATATTTATTTGCCACTATTCAAGGTACATTGAGGCCGATGACTTGGACAGATTATTTTTAGTAGTAGCGGTCTTAAATACTTACCAAAATGCATCAACTGATGCAATTTATATTATGCATTTCTACATAATATGTAAGATGCTACATTCATACATAAGAAATCTTAAGTTAAATCTTACTTGAGATAATATATCTGTCCCTCTGGAGTACGTGCTTGTTCCCAACCGGACGGCAGTGGGCCGAGATCATCTTGCATGTGTGTGCCGACATCGTAGGACCTCTGTTTGGAGTGCTGGTGGTGCAGGGGCGCCTGCTGGGTCTGTTGCCCCGCCGCATAGGTCTGCTGGAGACTCGCCGGCGAGGAGTGTGCTCGGGAGTGCGACACCGGTGCGGCGCCTGTCGCAGACGATGACCCGAACGCCGAATCGGCCGAGTTTTCTCGCGAGTGAGACACGGATGGCGACTTGGAACCGGTCGACGGCGGGTTAAAGAACGACTTTGGAAGCTGTCGCATACGTAGAGGCACCTGTAGCGGTCGCTTTGAGTCCGGCTTGAGCACTGTGTCGAATAAAGACTGTAGAACCGAGTCCGAATCCTGGTCTACGCGGAGGACCAGGTTCGATTTCTGTTCACTGTCCGAATTGAGAGCCATGGTTTTGTCGGACCGAAGTAATCTCGAAACCGACCTGGCCCACCGCTGTGACACAACACTGACACGCGACGGGCTGGCGCGGCGCCACCCGACGTACTTTTGATATAGCGCTCGCTGCGCGACTGACGCACGCCCCGCCCGCACCGCGCAATGTTCCCTGCCCACGCGCACCCGCCGCGCCGCGCCCGCTCGCCGCCGCCGCGCCACCCGCGCAGACCGGTCTTCGAGAACGATGCCCCACAACCACAACCCGCTCCGCTTTGCTTACTTACCTTAGCAATCCTTCACTTGCCATCTTAGCTTACCATCATAAAGCTTTGTACAATCTCGCATTTCCTGTTGCATATTTTTATTCATAACATAGAATAATATTGCACATAACAAACAACGTTTAAAGTCTAAAGCACGACCACTCCATACTAGACTACGCAATAAATAAGTATGCTAATTAACTTATAATGTCTTCTCAGCTCTGATCATTTTCAGTAAAAGGTATCTACTTTAATCAGCAAATCGTTAGGGATTTTTATAAAGTTTAAAACGATTGGAAATGGCAATTAAAATTGCAACTATAAGTGAAAATAGACTAACAGTAAGTAATGCTAATTGGTCCTGCTTCTTTCGGTTCCTCTTGTACAATTTAATATTATACTTTTACAAACCAATATAAGATGCATAATGTAAAATTTACAACTTTGAGGCATTTTATAACATGATTTTACCTTTACAGTATAAACAGTCAATTGTGGATTACAATAAATGTTAACTATGCCTATTTACGGGATTGCGCGATATCAGAGATCACCAACAACAACAGGCAGGTGATTTTTATTTTTTATGCCTGGTTTACATTATGCCTGTAGAGATGTAGTAATAGTATAGGTAGCACAGTAGCTGTCAAAATCAGCACTGTCATGCAATAAACATGATCTAGACACTAACTGGAGCCAGTTAAGCAAAAAAATTCTTGCCAGGCCAGAGTTTTTGTCAATTATACTGTCATAACCATGCATCATGAAACTTTACTTTTAAGTATTTGGTGGGTATGTGAAGAAAAAAGGAAAGGACATTTTTCAATTCTCAAATTAACGGCTTCGAAATATATGCCAAGTTTTTCTTAATATTTTTTTATTCTTCCTGTCCGTATTCAAATAATAATAGGTAAAATAATCAAATAAGTATAGGTAAAATTCCGAAACCACACAACACACTATTTAAAAAGATTCATTCTACGCATCCGTTTAAATTACGGTCAGTTAATCTTATACAAAAACAATGGTTTTTGAGGTCTCTGGTTTTTTATGAATCTGTGACTATGTTGACATTGACAGTGACATCTGACATCTAACGACTTTTATGATTTTGGAGCAAACGTCTTTTTCTTTAATTTATGTTTGATTTAGTCCAATACATCGAAACACTGCATGCGGAGTCTGCGCATTAGGCTTTAGCACAATTTCATCATGCCGTTTAATACCAAACGTTCGAAGTATAGAAACCTTAACATCGCTATCACGCAACGCGCATGCGTTTTCGCCGATGGAAAACACAGTGAAAAATCGTTAAAGAAATCTTATATATACGCCGAACGAAATTCTGGGGAGCGTTTATTTATTTTACGGATATCATGAGCACGTAGTATGAGCTAATAAAATGAATCTCAATTTGAAAGAAAGTTTTGAAAGATGGTGCCGCCTGTGCGCAGAGGAACAAGAAGTTACAATGATGATATATAGCGCCGAAGCTGAAGCAATGCTGCTTCAAGAAAAACTCAACAAATATTTCTTAATCGAGGTATGTATTTCTATCTAATTGTATTTTCTAATTAAGTAAATGTTATTAATTAATTATTTTAAACAAATTTGTTCAATGGTCGATTTGTTTCTTATTTCGTATTTGATTTCCAGATTGATGAGGATGATAATTTACCAAAAAACATTTGCATCCAGTGTTGTACAAAATTACAAACTGTCTGTGAATTTATAGATAAAGTTAAGAAAGCCCAAAATAAACTAATAAATCACTGTTCAGTCATAAACATTATAACAAATGAGAATCAGACCAGCACACAAATTAAAACTGAAGCTGAAGATGTTCATGAAAACATATCAAATGAGACACTAATGGAAGTTAGTGTTGACCCAATGATAGTGTTGCAGAATTCAGATGACACATTGTCACCTATTCCTGAAAGTTATGATAATGTTGAAGATGTAATGCATTTAAATGGGGTAGATGGTGAAGATGTAACGATTAAACTAATTAAAAGAGATGGTACAGATAAAAATAAAACAGAATCAACTGGTAAACAATTCCACTGTGTAATTTGTAAGAGAGGTTTTTTTTCAGACTTGTCTCTCAAAAATCACTCTTGGACACATATAAATGATAAAACAGTTAAGAAATACAACTGTAGCAGTTGTTTAGAAGGTTTTGACTTCAAATGTGACCTTATTGCACATTTTAAAAAACATCGAACTAATGGCATGTGTCAAATTTGTGGACGAAAGTAAGTCTATGAAATAAAAATATGTACTAAAAAAAAAGTGAAAGTTTAGCTGTATATTTATTAGAGTTTGTGGCCTAAACTGCTAAATTAAATAATTGGCATAGATGTAAAGGATAGTGTGGGAGAACACATAGCTTAATTACTTTTGTTTTTTTTTAATAACAGATTACCATGATTAACTTTTTCCTAGATATTTTTTATTTACACAATAGTTCAATTGCTATTGGATCAGTTGGTGATATATATGTTGTGGTTTAAAAGTATTTTTTAACTTATCAACATAATTACTTAAAACAACTACTTCAATATGATTGTCGAGCAAATTTCTAAATGTTTAAAAAAATTGTAATCAAAGTTATTTCTCATAGTTTCAGAACTGAGAAGAACTTGTCCATACATATGGCTGCTCATATATCCAAGGCTAATAAATACACATGTAAAATTTGCAAGCGTTCATACAACACAATGAGCAATCTGAAAACTCATAGCATCACTCACAGCAATGAGAGGCCTTACAATTGTCACTTGTGTAAGAAATCTTTTAAAAGAAATCAAGACCTAAAGGTAAAATAAAAAACAAAAAATTGGATTAATTCAGTGATCTTAAAAAAGAAATTAAAAAAGAATTAAATTTAATATGTTGCCTTAATTTTTTTATTTGTCTTTAAAAAAATTATACTTTGCAAAGTAACAGTGTAAAATTCAGGTTACAAGAAGTAAGTGTCTAAGTTAATTTTTATATTATGAATTTTTGTTTACAGTTTCACTTAAACCAACATACGGGTGCAAAACCGTACAAGTGTCCATTCTGTGACAAGTCATTTGCAAGTTCCGGGAACTGCTACTCCCACAGGCACCGAATGCATCCTGGAAAACAAATAGAAGGAAAGGAATATAAAGAACCACCACCTTCATTGGTTACAAAACCTGAGTTACAAACTGCAGCTTTAAAAAGTCCTTTGACATTAATAAACGGTGTCTTCAAATACCAGTGCCAGCAATGTGACCACAGTTTTATGAAGAGAGATAATTATTTGGTTAGTATATAACTATATATAAAATAATCTACTTAGTTATAGTTAAAATATCTTAGAGCCTCAATTTGTTCCGCATACCCTCCTCCCACATCAATATGCTACAGCTACACCTAAAATTGTATTCTGACTTGACTTTTATCATGTTCCAAGCAGTTGGCAGTTGTGTACAATCAAGGAATTTTAGCAGTAATCTACCATAAAAGCGGGTAGCAACCAATAGCTTTTAAATGTGTCTATAAAAGAAGGTTGCTCAGTGGCATATGGCTAATTGCTTTTTGTTACTAGCTTTCGCCCGCGACTCCTTTCGTGTGAGATTAAAAAAAAACAAACTGAGTGCCCCACATGTTCTTTCAGACTACCCTCTACATCTATGCCAAATTTCATGGAAATCCGTTCAGCCATTTGGGCTACAAACTCTAACAAACATCCATCAATCTAAACTTTCACATTTATGATATTAGTAAGATTTTATTGTTTACTTGTAAGAGGTGGAGATTGTATTTTTCTGTAAGTGGAACACTGGATTTTCGCAATTGCACATCAGCCTGTTGTCTTAGGATTCAAATACTAATGTTTTTTACCAAATTTCAGTACCACATGTACCAGCATACTGGAGAGAAGCCGTTTCAATGTACTTATTGTAATGAAACATTTGTGACTAGGAAAGGTTTGCTTCTACACTATGACAAGATACATCCAGGAAGGGATCGTCCGCTTGCGCTGCTCTCAAGAAATGCATTACTTAAGTGAAGAAACATGTAATATGTGACAAAAGGGTATTTTAAGAATAATTTCTTGATTATGTTAATTAACTTTTTCATACATATTGCATTTGAAGTTTGTAATTTTTTATTTTGTTATTTTATCAAGTTTTAAATGCATATTTTCATGTTAAATAGTTGAAATTACTTAACTATATAGTTTTATCTCTAGTATTTATCAATATTAATCACCTTGCTATTGCAGATTTGTGCTTTAATGAATTTGCTTAGTGTTTTGGGTGTTGCAATTGATTGCAAAACCATATTTTTCATATGTCAATATTTAGACTACATTCATGAAGAACAAGTGCCTGGTAATCATTATGCTGATATTACTGTAGGTTTTCACTGCCTAAAACCTGGATAAAAACTTATTTGCCATTCTTATTATTCTCTTAGATAGAAAAAAGTATAACAATACTATATTTTTGCATGGTTGCTTTAGCAGTGGAAAAGAATAATTCATAAATTGTCAAAACGGTCCAAGAATCATGCGAAATAGAAATTGTTGTATTTCTCATAGCCATAACAAGAGTGTCTTTAATAAAGAATAAAAAACATACTATGAATTTGTATTTTTTATATTTGTCATCAGTTTTCAGTCGTAATAAATAGATACTAAAAAAACCGTTCTTTCGTTCAAAAATGTTCTTAGCATTCAGATAAAATATAGTTTCCCTTTAAAACAAGCAAGGTTTTTTTATTTGCACCCTTTTTATAATCTTCAATCATTGAAGCGTATGATGAATTTTCAAATGTTGTGATTTATCAAAATAACAATCTAACTACTTTTTGTGTTTTGGAAATGGTTGTAACGATTCCCGATTATGGCAGTAGGATACTATTTTTAAATGGGGATTCATAAAGATAAATTGCCCCTGGTGCAGTGAATATGAACTTTATAGTAAACTGAAACAAATTACACTAGCCTTGGACACTAGTGAACAATTGAAATTCTGTTTTTCCGTTCGTAGTGTTTCCCACGCTAGGCTCTTGTGCTGAGCAATGCTTATAATGGTAAACAATAGTATGCAATGCAGGTAATCAATCGCATTTAAAATCTTATAAAAAGTAGATCCTGTAAGTACCTACCTATTTATCATTTATCATAAAATATGCTTCCATAACATCTTTAAACTCAACTTTGGTGGCGCTAGTGTGTAATTTATAATCTGTCATGCGCTAGTGCAATTTGAATTTTGAACTTTTGATTTCTATTGTTTTCTGTTATATAATATTTTTTTTCTCTGTCTGCTCAAAAAAAGCTGCCTTCGAAGTGTTTTTGTTATTTTACCAAAAAATGAAAGTTTGATTTGTTTGACCTTTATAAATGACCTTAACTTTAAGTAGTCAATAGGATCTTTATTGCGCATGCGTATATTTTCCGTCAAATAGCATTTGGCGCGCTGATAAGCACGATTTGCTGATCACGATGAAATTATTTCTTTTAGTCGTTCGACAGATACCAAACATTCCCCACGTTCCTAAAAGTGTGCGCTGTGTTTGTCAATTTTCTTTCGTATAAGATGTCTAATCACGATTTAGTAATAAACAGAAAAATGGCTCGTCAGAATGGAATTGTACAACCACTGCTAACAGGTATGCATAATTCGAATAACTAATTTATTTTTGGAGCGAATTTTAAAAATGTCAAACCAGTAATGCCGAAGTTTGCATTTAATTTCCTAACTTGCCAGTGAGAATTAGAATAATGTGCTGTTCTTAAGTTTTAAGAGTCGATGTTCACTTCTTTTCTAAATGCTGTGAATTGTTTTTAAACTTTGTAATTTTAATGATAAATTAATATAAAGCTTAACTTTAATTAAATGACTAAGTTTTGGTTTATAATGTTATAATTCTTTTCAGATTTGTATCAAATAACTATGGCCTATGCTTATTGGAAATCTGGAAAAGTGAATGATGTAGCTGTGTTTGATTTATTTTTTCGCACCAATCCATTTCAGGGAGAATTCACTATATTTGCTGGCCTCGAAGAGTGCCTAAAATTTTTAGAGAATTTTCATTATTCAGATAGTGGTATGTAAACTTTATAAATACATATGACTTAGATTACAAAATTTTGAATAATTTATTTAAAAAGTATTGAAAGTGTTTAACTTATCAAAGAGGTATTTCATGCATTGGTTGTGGTGAAATTCACAACTGTTTTTGCTCATGAATCATTAACAAACTATATCAAGATGTTAACATCTATGGTGACTGCTTAAAAAAATACAATCACAGCTATCAAGAGCGTAGTACTGAGTATTGCAGTTCCCTTTAAGTTTAATGTACTTATTTTTAACAAGGTATTCATCTAACTAGATGGATTAAGTGATTGTATTAAGTAAGACAAGAAATTCTTGCCAGTGTTTGTACAAACTTAAATATGTGTTTCAGATATTGATTATTTAATGCAAACATTACCAGATAACATAGAACCAGAATTTTATGCCTATTTGAAAGATTTAACCTGCAAAGACATCAAATTAAGTGCAATAGAGGAGGGGTCTGTTGTGTTTCCGAGGTAAGTGCCATTATTCTTTGTTTCTTCATATCTTTTTCTGTAGGATCAAACCGATATATTTAAGGATTGGACTAATTATTAATATTAATTAGCATAAAAATGATAGCCAAGACAATTTACCTTTATACAGATTTTAAAAATTATATTAACAACTTGTGTGATATTAAAATATTGGTATGTTACATTAATTGTATTGCTTGGCATTATTACATTATTTGTATTAATGTTGAAATGCAATTTAAAAATTATTTTTCTAATCTAATAGCTCAGAAACTAAAAAGAAGATTAAAAATAAGAAAAATACTGTTTTAAATTAACAAAGACTATGAAATAATTGTTGCATCACCATTAATAAGGAAGTTCAATCATTCAGTGCTATTTTTAATCTGTAAAATAGCCGCTACTAGCCTATGATCTAGGCTAGAGTGGCTTAGGTATACAAAAACATCATCCTCTCACCTTATACAAAGTGTCTGTTGCTTGCGACTTCGCCCGCATGAAATAAAAAAATAGCCTATGTTACTGACTGATAAATATCTCTTTAATGGTGAAAGAATTTTTTAAGTTGGCCTAGAAGTTCTTGAGTTATTACAATACATACAAAAATATAAAATACAAACCTTTTCTCTTTTTAATATTAGTATAGACTTAGAAAATAAGAAAAAAAAGGAAAACTGGCAGTAAATAATCTAATAACTTTAAAATCTTCAGAACTTTGTTATATCCTCCAGCTTATGTATTATAAATATGTAATTAATCTAAACATACATATATATTATCATTAAAAAGATGACCTAGATGCGTAGAAGGTTATGTTTATATGTTCATAAGAAGTTTGACGTACACATATAAAAAATATAGTTTCACATGCTCACAGCCAGTCGGGTATAGTTTTCAATAGTCATGGTACAAGTTACGTAACCCAACATGTATACTTTTATCTTGCATTAAAATCGGCCCAGGAGTTTTTGAGTTATCTTATTAAATATAAAAATACAAATCTTTCCTTGTTATAACATTACTATTATCTTCCATATAGTCTTCAGCAATATCTAGCACTAATATTTTTATTATATAGTTCAAAAAATCACTAAGCTATACTTAAAGTAATGGCTGGAAATGGTTACTATGCAGTGTTCCTTAATTCGAAACTGTTTTAAGTTAACCACTTGTAACCATGAGATGACAGTTAAAAAGCTTAAAGAAGGAACTAGTAAGTCTGCAAAAATATTGGAAAAAATGTTTTTGTATTAAAAATTGGCGGACGTCAATGTTTTTTACTTATAGGTATAACTTTTTATTTAACATTCCAACACTTGTTGAGTTCACTATAGTTAACATTAAAAATAATACGTTAGAAAACTGACGCAATCATGGAATAGAACATACATAGGAACTAATTATTGCTTAGATATTCTAAACATGTTTAGTATACTTGGAATGAGAATAATGTGCTTATATGCAACTTTAGCTTACAAACAATTGAATAAAACTAGAATGGGGCTCATAATAAATGTAATTTATTAGGCAGCTCTTGACTATCTTATATATGTACAAACCCATATAAGCATACATACATAAAAACTATACATAATGAATATTATTTACTCGTGTCAGTTAGGATAAACTACAAAAATGGATTTAAGTGTTTAAAAATGGTAAATGATTGTTAGAGAATTTGTATTTTAATTGGATTTATATTTCAGAGTCCCTCTGTTGAGAATAGAAGGTCCTTTAATAGTTGCTCAGTTGCTAGAGACAACTTTACTGACCCTGGTCAACTTTGCAAGGTGAGCTACATTGGAGCATGTTTTATTTGTATCATAAACATATGTAACGCATATGCGTTCATGCATGAGCGGATTTGCATATCTTTATATCGTTTTATCTTATGTTTGTAAATACACTCCACTAAGCTATATTTATTTTACACCTATCTATCAGTACCGTGGATGACTGCGTATACTAATTTGTCATCGAGTATTAATTTTCAAAGTAGCAACTGATATTGTATCTACACGGAAATATACCTCCCTACGTAGGCTGTTGATGAGAGATGGACAATTAATTAAAATGCATAATAACTATATTGTTTATATTTCAGTTTAATGGCAACGAATGCGGCGCGTTACAGAATGGTTGCCGGCAAGAATGTTTCCTTGCTAGAGTTCGGTTTGCGCAGAGCTCAGGGACCGGACGGTGGATTGTCTGCTTCTAAATATGCATATGTTGGTAAGTATAAACTCCTATTGGTATATTTCTCATTTACTCTTAAATGTATATATGTTGCTCGATTTCAGGTCGAAATTATCTATCTACTATACTATACTTGTACTTAACATAATAAAGCGTAATCACACACAACTTTGTGGCGTAAGATGTCAGCAATCATAGCATATTTTTGAATAATTCTTTCTTTAATAAAAAGCTCTACACTTAGGTCACGCTTTAGGCTATATATTTTTACGCTATTAAACTTAGAGGGTAAATAAATTAGATAAAAACCCTAATGTAGGAAAGAGACCATAGGCTACAAGCTGCCAACATCAAGGAAGTAAGATTGCCATGGTTTGTCATCAAGTCATGTCATTTTGACATTTGCAATTGCTAATTTGACAAATGTAATCTTTATAAAGTTATGCTGATGAAGCCGCACGGGAACAGATAGTTGTTTCTATAAAGCGAATGCTTGTAGATATTGATTAGCGTGTCCCTGCAGAGTAGACGAGCCCGTGCCAGGCACCGGCCCTTGTGCCATGTAACGCCGCGCTGTTGACTCATAAGAACCCCCGCACTAATACACTGTTTAATCTTTTCTGATCATGCTACTCGGTCCTTGACATTGAAACTTTGCCACCGCACAGATACATTAATTGGAAACTTTTGACACACCTTGCCGGTTTTCGGAATCATTAGAGCTGTAATAGCATGGTACGAATTGGTATTTTGCCGCATTCAAATTAATGTTTGATCTTTCTTTCACAACTAAAGAAGTTGGTACCTTAATTATATCCAATGCGATTGTGCAAGTCTTTCCGTGAGTAAAATGGCCCTACATTTAATTGCTAACGAGTTGTACGGTAAACGCGTAAACATTACGATAACGTAGCCGAGGTGGCCAATTATAATGTTATGATGTTACATCTTACTAAATATTATACATGTGAAAGTTTAGATGGATGGATGTTTGTTAGAGTTTCTAGCTTAAACTGATGAACGGATATTGATAAAAGTTGGTATAGATGTAGAGGATATTCTGGAGGAACACATAGGCTACTTACTTCTTTTCTTAATTCTATGCGGACGGAGTCGCGGGCGAAAGATAGTTTTATGATAAAGGCAGTATTCAATATCGTAATCCTAAGACATGTAAAGTTGATTGTGCTATAATTTTTAGTCCAGACTATTATTTGAAAATCCTTTTCGAGTACATGATTTTAGTAAATGGCTATACTGCAACTTTGATTCTTTGAGTATTTAAGATATTTTAACTTTTTCTATTTGAAACATCATAGGGGTTACTTTTATATAATATATAAATTCTCGATAGTATTAGAGAGAACTTAATCATGTCAAAAATCTACGTTTGTTATTAATGAAAATAGATAACGGTGATGCGTCTACGAAATAAAAAAATACCTTATCAATTAATAATTATTATTCCAAGATACATTTATGAAGATTTCTCAGGAACAAATACAGTTATGATATTTCTTGAAGTATTTAACGAATGTGTTGAACTTTTAGAGATATCGATTATTACACTATATAAAAAAGGTCAAAATATTAAACTAACAACATTGATATAATCGTATAAGCCCTCTAATCATTTGGTTCTGATTAACTACCTAGTGGCCAGATAACCATTTCAATCATATGTAAAACAAAGTAGTTTGAGAATCTCGTGTCGTAATTAAATGTGTACCTATTAATCCTATAATAATGTAAATAAATAACTTAACCTTGCGAACAAACACACATAAAGACATTGTTTGTTATGATTTCATAAAAACAAATGTCTTCCTCAGATTTTTCCAACGATATTATTGTAATATGTAAAATGATTTTTTTGTTTTCACAGTAATTAAAAACGGCCAAGGTTGCTTAAATAAATATATTTTGGTCAACATATTTAATCTCTAGTTAAAATAAATCTGAATACTTCATAATAATTAAATAAAAACATTTGACTATGAATTGTATAAACAGATATATTTCAGAATTCAGAAATTTCATCTTGCTAATATTATAAATTATAGAGTTTAGATGGATGGATGGATGTTTGATTTAGCTTACCGCCTAATCGTCTGAACGAATTTTGATGAAAATTGGTATAGATGTAGAACATAGTTTAGTAGAACACATAGGCTACTATTTTTTAAATTCCGTGTCAGGAGTTAGCTACTAAATACATAATTGCGTAATTCAAAGTAATCTATACTGATATAATAAAGCGTAAACACACACTACTTTGTGGCGTAGGATGTCGGTAATCACAGCACATTATTCAATAGTTCTTACTTAAATAAAAGCCCTAGTTTACCTACACTTACGATACGCTTTAGGATATATGTATTCACGCTTTTAAACTTAGAGGTAAATGAATTAGACAAAACCCTCATGTGGAAAAGGGACGATAAACTACAAGCTGCCAACATTAAGGAAGGAGGGTTATTGTGGTGACGGTAATTTTGACATTTGCGATTGAGAATTTGATAAATGTAACCAATATAATGAAGTTTTTATATTTTCTTGCGGATGGAGCCGCACGGGAAGAGCTAATATCGTAATAGAGTTCCAATAGAAAGGTTTAGTGCAGACGCTGAACGTTTGCAGGTGGGTTCGACGGCACGAGCAACGTACTGGCCGGCAAGATGTTCGACATCCCGGTGCGCGGCACGCACGCGCACTCCTTCGTGACGTCATTCAGCTCGCTGGCGGACGTGCGCAGCGCGGCGCTGCGCCACGCGGGCTCGCACGAGTCCTGCGACCTGCTGCAGCGCGCCGCCGACTGGCGCCGCCGCGTCGCCACCGTCCTCGACGTCTCCCCGGAGGAGGCCAGCGACGGCGAGCTCGCCGCGCTCATATCCTACGCCGTAGCCTTCCCCACCGGCTTCCTCGCCCTCGTCGATACCTATGACGTGAAGAGGTACAATAGCCACGGCGCGCGCATAAACGGACATTCCGGCTACAATAGCAACTGTGGATCCAATGGCAATACGATAAGCGAGCCGTCCGCACGTAGCGCGTACGGATATAGCACGGTCGAACGCACACTGAGGTAAACATGCAACACACGTCCACAAGTCACACGTCACACCTCTTCACACTGGTGTCTGACTTATATATTGTTTTACATTGTTCGTCTCATTGTTTATCTGTAAGTTTGCGATAGAGACGGGCGCGGCCATCATTCGATTCATACCGGGGCGGGCATGAACGGTTCACAAGACGGGATAGAAATATTATCAGCACGACTTAGCTTGCCTCTGGGCTAAGAAACATGAATGTAGTTACAGATGTTCCGCTTTGAAGTAGGCGAATGGACGGCGCTATTGAACTGAGTGTACATAGAGCGTCCGCACAGGACTAACATTTTGCTTCAGTGTGACGTATTGTCCTGGACGCGAGAACGATAAATAGGGACAATGTTGTCATTGGGCACAGTTGCATTGTACAGGGAATATGCACAGACACAATAACATTTTTATATGTATTCGCATGCACGCATTATCACTGCATCAGCATTTAAATTGAACTTTGTAATGGGTTAATGATTTGCTTACACATTTATTCTTACATGTGGGCAATTGTTACGTGTTGCACAATTTATATTTATGCAGTTTATAATATTGATTTTTATTTTTTTATTTATCTGGTGAAATATTGTCAAAAATGTTTATGTTTTGGTATTCATAACTTGTCCTCGTGGAAAACATTACATTGTTTCACATCTCAAATGCATGCATTCAAAGGACACTTGAATGTTACTCGCAAATATCATTAAAAAACAAACACAATTTGTATAGCTCGATTACACATCGCTTTTACTACTGGTGAACCGTTGAAAATATTTATTAATTCAGTCATATAAGCTATGATTGAATCCTTAAAATTAAGAAAAAGGTAAACTTACTTGACGTACTTGACTCCCTTACACCTATTGTGTTATCGTTGGGCTATATTTCCATATAAAATTACGTATGTTTGCATAATTCGAATAATTCTAGAGCTATATAGTTTTCCTTAAGCAATTTAAATGTAAGGTAAACGCACTAGTAATGGACACCAACCTTACGACTATCAAAATCTTATAAATTCCTTACAGGAGTGGTCTTTTAAACTTCTGTGCGGTGGCCCTTGCACTAAATGATTGCGGATACAGGGCCGTGGGCATACGCATAGACAGCGGCGACCTCGCTTACCTTTCTGTATTAGCAAGGAATTCGTTCGAACAAATAGCTGAAGCGTTCAAACTGAACTGGTTTGCTAAATTGACGATTGTCGCATCAAATGACATAAATGAAGATACTATACTCAGTTTGAACGAACAGGGGCATAAAATCGACTGCTTCGGTATTGGAACACATTTAGGTATGTATAGATATGTAGATATGTAGCTTTACAATAGACAAGTAAATAGATTACAGTCGATTTTCATGGACTATAATTTATAGATAAGTCTTTATGTTTTTCTTTACAGTTACATGTCAACGTCAACCCGCGCTGGGATGTGTTTATAAACTGGTGGAAATAAATGGACAGCCGCGGATCAAACTTAGTCAAGATGTAGGGAAAGTCACCATACCTGGTCACAAAGAGGTAAGAAAACAACTTCCTTGAATTTACGTCTTTTTCAGTATAGTTTATTGCTGAATTTTTGTTAAATGACTCTAGACAACCTAGATATACTGATGATATCAAAATCTCGCAATGAATGATTGCAAAATTTTTCTGTTTATTTTTAAACCTGTTATATATTATCTGAAGTGACAAGATACATCAGTAATTTTAACCTGGTTTTGAAAGATATGTATTTAATTATAAGTGGAGTGTATAGGTATTAAAAAATACAATTAATACATGTTTTTGCGATTACCACATCTAGGTTATTTACCTTACATCTTTTTCACAAATTAAAAAAAAAACATAATTGTTTTAATGAATACTAAGTAAAATTATCTTGCGTAAGAAACATTGTGATAATATTCTTGTTAATATTCAGTTTATATAAAGAAGAAAAATTGTTGGATTAAGTCGCCATTATTTACACCTGAAATTGACCATTGCACACTAGTAGCAATTTCCAAAAATAAATATTAAAATTGACTATAATAACGATTACAAATTATTTAACAAGTTGTGTAAAACGTAACAAAAAAAGAACGTAAGATATTGCGTAAATATCGATGATAACAAAAAATGAATTGTTAATGATAAGGAATGTTTTTATTCCCAGACGCTGATTAAATATATACAATTTAGATCGATAGACCTTGAACTGTTGAACGATAAACGCATATCGCGCCCAACTGTACCTACATAAACTATTACAAGGTCTATAGCCTAGGATATAAAAATAGCACCCTAAATATACACAACGCGTTTTGGTTCGACTTATCTCATGTCGAAAATATTCGTACATCTACAACATTCTGTAGCATATAAAAGTCAGATTTAATTATTGTTTGTAATGCTCAGAAACTGCAATTCAAGTCACAATTAAATTCATATGTACATTTATATAGATAAAACGAAACAATCACTATTATAGATAGAGATTTAGTTATTATACATGATAATAGAATTATCTGATAAAGAGAATTAAAACTAACACATTGTTAACATTTTGTACCATTATAATTTGTCTTAAATGTCTTTCACTACTTGCATTAAATATAAGGAAGCAAAGAAACAAGGGATCGATCTTGTATAAAAGAGAAAAAAAGAATACAAAATATGTCTGCATAAAAAAAGCCACCTAAGTGTAACTTTACTTGTAAAGTTCCATTGACATAACTTATGGTCATATTTTTTCTGAGTTTTGAACGATTATAGCCTCTAACCTATTATACCTAAGGCTGAAAGATAAGTTATGTTATTTTTTAGGCATACAGGTTATTCGGTGCGGACGGACACGCTCTGATAGACCTGCTGCAGCGCTCCTCCGAGCCCGCGCCCGTCGTAGGACAGAAGGTGCTCTGCAGACATCCCTTCCAGGAGTCCAAGAGAGCCTACGTCATACCCAGCAAAGTGGAACATCTGTACAAGGTTATTAAAGTATATTTCTTACTTATATTATAAATGGGAATGTTTGGATGGATGAATGGATGTATGTTACTAAATCTCTTCAAAACCGCTTTACGGATCTCGACTAAATTTAACACGTATGTAGAACATAGTCTAGAAGAACACAAAGGATCTCAGTAAGTTGTTTTGCCATAATAGATTATTGGTATTTTAGTAAGAGATTAAAGTATTATTTTTGCTTGTATAATACAGTGTGATTTTGGATTTTCGAATTTTATATGTACCTATTTTATCCTACGTTCTTACGTTCTTACAACATCGTGATGCCTGCTTATCGGCGAAGAAATTCAAAGATATATGTGAAGTCAACCCACAGTGGACCAGTAGGAAATGGCCTAGTCACCCCTTATTAGGGCTCCGAGGTCCTCAGTGGGAACGTATAGACAGAGAGACGTGTGTATTGCAGGAGTGCTGGAGCGCGGGGCGGGTGCGCGTGCGCAGCAAGCCGCTGAGCGAGGTGCGCGCGCGCGTGCAGGCCTCGCTGCGCGCGCTGCGCCAGGACATCAAGCGCAACCTCAACCCCACGCCCTACAAGGTCAGATGCCAGGTTATTCATATTTTTACTAACTGCTTCACATATTTAACTCCCAATTCGCATTCGCTTTTCATCATTTTATTACCGTAGGTACAGTCAGGCCACTTCGCGGTGTTACACTTACAAAAATCGCCTTGTTCGAAACCTGACAAACTCCGCCCTTTTTTATAAATTGGAAATATTAATGTAAATACGGAATAATAATAAAAAACATTAGCTGTGTACCACTGACTAAACTTTTTTTTGTTGATATATTCAAATACTTTCTATTCGTTATTGTTTCATATTTAAATTATTAAATTGTTGAATTATGAAAATTAGTTCCTCCAATAAATATGTTAAAATTCTAAACTTCAAAAGAATTTTATTGATGTAGTTATGTCCATACTTTACGGTAACATATGATCTTTCCAGGTGGCAGTGAGTGACGACCTTTATAGCTTCATCCACGACCTGTGGCTGCAAAACGCACCCATCGGGGAACTATCGTGAAACTTACACAAAAAGCGGAAAATAAGTCTCGAAGGAACATAATAATGAAAAATCTGTGAAACAAAATGAAAGAAAACTGAAGTATTAGCAAACTTCGTGTTTGAAAATAGATATATTTTGGTGGCTGTGTTTTATTTCTACTTTTGAATTTGTAAAATGGGGAATGGAAATTTTAGTTTATGTTATTCCACAATAGAATGTTTGTTTTCTTTGTAGCTTTTATAGATTATTGTCACAAAATGAAGTTAATATTTCACTTGTTGAAATAAAGTACATGCGATGTTGTCTGTAAAGAAAAATAAATTAAGGACTTTTTTAATTATAGTTTATCCTTAGATGTAACAAAACATTCTATACACAGTTATAATTAATTTTAATTTACTTTTATTAAATATTTTATTTAGTAGTGTTTGAAGAGAAATTCTATTATGTATGTATTCATCACTGACTAAAATTAATACAAGAGTGGAACAGGACATTGTAACTATTTCTCTTGTATATTTTATATCACTGACAGTTGCCAATATTAACAGTCGATAACAATTTTTACTAAAAACTTGTTTTAAAATTATTTTTAATGTACAGTCGCCCTCTTACGTATTCTAGCTAGTTAAACAAAAATTGCTTCTTAACTCTCCACAAATGCTTTAGACATGTAATTAGACATAACCTCACTCTGCATTATTTTAAATATGTTTTATTGTTAACATTAAAATTAATAAAAAAATGCCCATTTCTTGACCAATATACTATGATTAGAATTGTCAAATTTATTAAATCTGATTTATGTTTACTTTAATACTAAGTAACACTATGTTAGAAATTAATTGTAAGCTCGCTAACCACTTTGCACAGAGCTTATTACATAATTAATTATGTGTTTTCTGTCTATAAAGTACATACAAATGGTTCTATGGTAAAGTAATGATCACATATAAGGAACGTAAAATATAAGTTATTTTCTTGTAGTATTTATTGTATTTATCAAAAGATAAATTAACGAATATTTTCTGTTGAAATACTAAATTATGTAGCTAAAAAACTAGTCAAAGCTTGAATTTTGGGTGGAATGTCTTAATACCAAAGCAATTTTAAAAGAGTTTGTATTGAATCTAGATTTTTTTTGTTCATGCATTAGACACATTTATAAATAATAATGGTACAGATGAACGGGCCCAATATTTTTATATAGCTGACAATACAATACAAGATTATAGATATAATTCACTTTGAAGTTTTTGAAAACTAGATATTTTATTACAGAAATCTAGAATTAGCATTTACAAATGTCTTAACTTTAGTTGATTTCGCTATATGACTATGAGTTGATTTGATTGTATGAACTCCGAATTGTCGAGTTTTCTCGAAACATGACATATTTGAAACAACAACAAAACATTGTGTCGACGAGCAATTAAATGTACTTGCTGTTATATTTTTTTTAAAAGGTACAAAGTACCTCAATATTAGTTACAATATAATTAGAAACAGTAATAGTATACTGGTTATGCTAAACATCCCTAGTACAGGAATTTAATATAAATTATAAGTACTCTACGCGAGTATTTATATAAATCAATTTATTTTAAAGTAATTTAAGTAGTCCCCGATCCCATCAATTACATGTTTTTGTACAAAATAAATTAAAATCCATTTGGGAATACTGTCACAATCGTTTTCTTAAAATGATCTACACAGCATGGCAGTATAGTTTTTGTACTTTTACTTTCTACATAATAAAGCAAAGCACATTTTTGTATTTGTAAGAATTTTTAAATTATATTATTTATTTTAATATGCCTTATTTCATAAATTTATTTTAATTAGTAGAGAAAATAAATCAATTTAAATAAGTATTTGTTTTATTTATTTTTTAAATCCAAAAGCAAAGGTGAGTGAGCTTCACCTGGCAGTATACCACTTCTGAACCCGTAAGTTGTATGCGAGTCTTGAGCAGTTTGGGCCTTAAAAAAATGTCTGACAATATTCTCTGTGAAAATATTCTAACAAAACGTTGCATTACAAGTACAATCGCAAAATCCGCGGTGTTTCACTTCAGAGAAATTGCATTGTTCATTGCATCAAGACAAACTCCGCCTCTTCCTGCAAAAAACTAATAATATACAAACGAAGAGATAATAATAGAAAGAAACAAGCCTTGTATACTAACCGAATTTGTTCGCTTCGCAGTAATTAATGTGGTTTTAGCTTGGATTAATTTTTTATTTTTTTTTGACTACTACAGGTAAACAACCGGAGCATTGGTTTTATGAAGTAGGAATCGGTAGGTATAGGAAAATTATACGTTTGTCATCTGTGGTTCCCAAAACTGAAATATATATTATCTGTATTCTGCACTTTCAAATCGTGACAAGTAACTAACCTCTAACAAGACTGATTTTTTATCAATTTTACGTACTTAGGTATTAAATTATACGAATAAGTGTGCCGGCGACGGTTCTACGGAATTGTTTAATTTCTGGATACATTGTAAGTTTGCATTTTTATTCTTACTTTACATCATTGTTTATCTATTATTCTTTAAATGGATATAAAATTCATTAACTTAATTGCTTTGCATGGAATCTTGTAGTAAAACAAAACGTCTGTTTACAAACAGATAACATAGATAATGAATTTGTACTTGTTACTATAATGTGTTTATAGCATAGGTTTACTCTACTATAACGATATGACCAGTTATCACTGCTCTACTAAATCAATTTTAAAGCGACATCCGACCCCACTAAAACTTAGCATTATTCAGAATATACTAACAAAGTTGTAATAAAGGATTATTAAAGGACTATAGGAATACTACAACATTATACTACTCTTTAAAGTATTACTTTTCGATAAGTAAACTTAATGAATCACTTTTTAATGATCATTGACTCATACAGCATCATTTGATATGCAAGTTAAGTGTGCAGGTATAAGTTTCCTATGTGCGTTTCTAATATACATTGATATTTCTATGTGAAGATTTGTACCTTTTAAACCATTTATCATTTATTGTGTTTTTAAAGTTTTAATTTACTACAAATAATAAAAAAAGCACAGAATTACAGGAAAACTAATATGACTATCCATGTTCTGGATAGAATGTAACAAATGAACAAAATTCTGACCTATCACCCTTTTAGCAACCAAGTTACAATTTTTAAATTATGATTATGGTTATTGTTATATATACTTAAAAGTCACAGAAATAAGATAAACATATTTGTCTAGTTGTCATTATTTCTGTATACTGATGTAGTTAATGTTCAATAATGGTTCAATAATTAAATAATGGTTTTCATGCTTCAAAACTGCTTTCTCATTCATATGATTGATTGTCCTCAATCATTGTTTTAGCTGATTACAATATCAACATATTAAGTCTTAACTTAAATTTACTTGAATTGTTGAAGGTCAAGATATATAAATTACTCTCAGATTAACTTGTAACTAACATTATTTATAACAAGGTTTCCTCCGCGACTCTGTCCGCTCGGAATTAAATAAAAACAAATGCAAATACCCTATGTGTTCTTCCTGACTATGTTCTACATCTATGCCAAATTTCATCAAAATCCATTCAGCCGTTTAGGCTACAAATTAGTATGATTATCTCCTAAAAGGAAACATTTTAAAATTACTGTATGACTTAGATTAAATTTCTCTAATCCGGGACAGTTTTAGAACATTTTTTCTCAATATACCTAGAGCCTAACCATTGCACTAGGACAGCTATGGAGGTAGTTTCTATGGGTAGATAACATATAAACTCTACTTTTCCCTTGTTGCGGGGTTCTTACAATTTTCTTTCCCGAAGCAAAAAAGAGGGTCTTTATGCAATGTATTTTACATCACATGTTTAAATCAATGTAAGATATGTTATTCAGTTTAGAGAAACAATTCATCAAAAATGGATAGCATATTACAAACATAACAAAAACAATTAATTTCCAGTTAAAAAGAACTCAGATTAAAACCTTTATTTTATTGTAGATAATAAACCTTGGTTTTAATATAGGTATATGGCAGGAATACAAAAGAAAAATCATTTAACTTGAAAGGAAAAAGAACTATGCTTGCAGCTAAGCGTCGTTAGTTGCAGATGACAGTCATTGTCTATTGTGCTGAAGTCAATTACCCTTGTGTCTTTTTGAAATAAATATCTGAGGCTACTCAAATGTTTACTCTTGCTTATAAGAGAAACCTGTTCCAATATTTAGGCTGTTAAATGCTTAAAAAGATTTTGTAAATCATATTTGTATTAGTAGAATTATTAGTAAAAAGACTTTAGTGTAATATCTCGTTAGGATTAAACAAGCATTTTATTTACTTTTTTCCGTTTATTGTGGTATTTTCAATGTTTCAAATAAGCAGGGAATCATACTCCAATCATCAGATCATTCCATAGGTTAACGCGTGATTACGTGTAATGTAACCTACATTGTAATCTTGGAGGTAAAAAATGCCGTTTGCAGTGTTAGCAAAGGACAAATGATTTTGGGTAACCATAAGGCTCTGTGCTGGGGGGTTTCGGGGTGAAATAAGGTGAGGGGCGGGCGGGCGGCGCATCTGCCCTGCGCCACTGCCGCCAGTCGCCCGCCGCCGCTCGCCCGGCCGGCCGCGACGTACAAGAGTCCTCACATCAGAACTCACGATATCATAACAAAGCAATACATAATACTCGAGTACCTCAGTCAGCAATTGCATAAAGTTTATTAACAAATTATTTACGACTATAAATAAATATTTTATGGTTTTCAACCTTCATGTTTGCAACTTCGAGAGTCTATCGTTCAATGTTTGACAACTAGAGATTTATAACTTTACGCTTTTATAATAATTATGTTTAAAAGTTGTTGTGCTAGACCGAATAAGAAACTGAGCAAGAGCAAATCCAAATCAGAAGACATGGCTTCCCTTTCTGAATCAATTGTCCAAGAGAAGGACAATGTAAATGAAATAGTTAATGAACAACTAAATGAAACTGATAATGAAAACAAATCGCTCAACGGAAGCCTTAAGAACAATGATCTCGAATTAAAGGAAGAAGCAAAGGGTGCGGAGGTTGTCATCACAGTTTCGCCTACAACAATTTCCAGTAATGAGGAAGAAAAAGTTTCCGAGGGATCGGTTAACTATGATACTGAAGTAGACGATTTAGATCAAATGGTACCTAAGCGGGAAATGGTGAAAAAGAGGTACTCGGTTGACTACAAAAAGTCTCGAATGGATTTTAAGAGATTCTCCGTGGACTGCAGTCGTAATGTTGCAACACTCGAAGAGCTGGCCAATCTTGAAAAGGAGTTGGCTCGAACAAATGTAGAGGTGCGTCCAACGGGTAGACGTAAAT